CAAACAAGCAGAAACTATGGTATATGCTATTTTCATTTCGTGATAATAAATATTGGAGAGTACTTTTAACTCGTAATTCCTATTGCACTGGAGACTCTCCCTTTCTCATTATTGATAATCTGTCATAGATTTTTTCATTAGCAAGAAATTTTCTAACATCCATACCACTATAATAATTTTCGAGATATGTTCTATAATATTCCATATCATATCCAGGACGATTACTGACAGGCTTAGGTAACCGCCATTGTTTTTTATCAATAATCATATTAATGTTAATAGCACTTGCTAAAGTAACAACCGTCATATTTAGCAAATATACCGATTTATAGTATTTTTAGCAATTTCTAGCTATTCTTAAGTAACATATACTATAGAATATCATCATTCAAATTTATATAGATTTACTGATTAGCAATTAGTAAATCCTTTATTCGATTATGCCCTTGTTCAGGATGAAATATTGGTATAATTCGGCTAAATTGGATCTGATCACCATAGATAGCTAAATTCTCTTTGGCTAAAATTTATATCACATATGATCTCCCTAGTTTCCTGCCAGTTCCTCGATAGTTCTAGGAGTGTTCCAGGCGCTAGCGAGTTTCTATAAGTCATGAGATGATCAGCCTTCTGTAAAAAATATATAGACTATCCTACAAATCATACATCATTTCGCATGTAGCATACATTAATTAAAAAAAACATTAGGAGATTAAAAATTATATACAGCTAAAATTTTTATTTCAGAGAATGTGAACTGAGTTCACAACGTCACGTGTGTGATGCAGTAAATATTATTTTGCAAACCTGACCAAGATATGATCGATATCATTCTGGCTAAATTTTGATATAGATGCTACTAAAAAAGATTTTATTCTTTGAATCATATGCTCGCCTATTTCACTAAATAGATCATAAATCTTTAGAGTCCATTCTTTTTTCTTCCAAAGTAGGTCATCACTAACTGAGTCTGGAAGCTGATTTCGAATTTCTTTATTTACCAATACCTGAGCCGTTTGCTTAGGATTATTTTTCTTGTAATGATCAAGTGCTTTTCCAAAATTATAATACGATTTGATGACATTTCGTTTTGCAATCTCTTCCTATCTTTTCATATTAATTATTGTATTATACAGATCAAAAAAATCCCCAGTTCCCTCCCTTCTTCCATAACTATTGAATCCTGAGATGTTTCAGAGGATAATTCTTTGATAAGTTTTTTTAGCGTACCTGATACTTGATCCTTTCGGGATCCTTTCTTCTCACCACTCTTTTTGGCTTTCTTGCTAGACGATTTTTTGGTTGATTCATTAGAATGTTTTTTCTGTAAACCACTAGGATCTGAGGTTTCCAAATTATCAGTTTCCATATCATCAGCTGAAGTACAGGTAGGACATCTTTTATATAGATCGTTAATGCAATCTAAATGCATAACATGTTTACAAGATAAAAAGGCAGTATCTTTCTGAAGATCTATGGTAATATCTTCAGAGCATTTCTCACATTTAGGGTTGGTTACCTGGTTAGAAGTTTCTTTAGCGACCTCAGTAATCTTGGACGAACTTTGCTTTCCACCTGACAATAGTATGCTCATGAGTCTATATTACCATCAAGGTCCACGTCCATCGGGTCTATTGGTTTTTCCTCTTCTGGTATAACTGTAAATTCAGGACAAACTTTTTACTGATCAAATTAGTTAAGGCCGAAGTTCTGTTAGATTGAGATGATTGCGAACCTCTCCTAATAGAATTTGGGTTCACAATAATATCGACATTCTTTCCTACAATCAGGAAATGGGCATGTGCTGAGTTTGGTATGTAATGTAGAAGTTGCTTCTTGATACATGGCCTGTGAAAAATATGTTCACAAGAGAGGATGGTGAGCGCTTTGATGGGTGATGTCAAAATATTGTTCGTATACTCAGTGCATTGCCCTAGCTCTGGAATTTCTTTATTCTCGATCATATCATCCTCAAGATACTTCAGGATATTATAAGCTATGTTCCTATGATTAATAAAAAACGGTTTGCAAGGTTTCGTAATCTTATTTTTTTCTCCACCACCACCACCACCATCATCATCATCATAATAAATTAGGTCGCCCAGATTGTCGTAATCATTAGTAGTACTCAGATTTCCACTCTCTTAATTTTTCATGGTAAAGTTTTCTGAAAAAAGATACCGTATAGTCCCAAAAATAAGCACCTGTAACACGCTCCTTTTATAGTAATTTATTTATTTGTCACATGGAATTTATTATATTATTAGTCACGTATATACTGATAAATTCATATATATCACGTGATGCTTATTTTTGGGACTATACGGTAACATTCTTTTGGCTTAGCGCTCTCACTAGTTTTATAGCGTCATAGGAGAAAATATTTCCCAGATTTTCACCAGCAATTACGCACTGCATTTTGTCATTTGTTAATCTCTTGCAAATCAATAAAAAAATGACGAAAGATTAGTATACACATCCCTAAATCTCATATGTGAAATATTGATTGCCAAAAAATATCTATATTTGAATATTGTTTTGTTAATATAATAATAGCGTGGCCTAGAGAAATGTAAATGCAAATCAAGTCAAAAAAAATAATGCAAATATATATGTGATTCGCATGTTGCACAGCCCCTATTCTTCGGCAAGAATTTTACCAAATATCTTCTGCGCATTTCAGGTGATCGATTCACATGACCCAATAGGCATATTCGATAAGAATTAACGCTTTATATAATAGATAATAAAGAAGATAATACATATCACACTCCACACATATACAGCATTTACATGTTAAAAAAGATAAACTCGATGTGAGTGGCATTTATTAATATTTGTATAGCATTGGTAAACTAATACACTATTAATTAAGAATACAACTCTCTCTTTACACAGCTAAGAATATAAGTACATTATACTATATTTAGGAAAAATTGACTTTTGATCTCCTTGAAGGTAACATACGCTATGTTGGAGAATTCACGAACTTTTCCAGAGTGATTGGAAGTACCGAGACTACCTCGAATATAGACAATACGAAATCCAGACACACGTATGCCATTTCTGATAATAACAAACCTATTTTGTGAATCTATTTTAGCAGAATGACTAGGACCATGCATCTCATCTAAATACATATCGATCTGTTTTCCATTAATTTGTGCTATAGAGATACCAGCTTATGCAGACATTGGTTCAAATGCTTTCCTGATATTTGTTGATGATTTGCTATTGTGTGAAGTAAAATCACTGATAGATACCTGTATAAATATAGGTCTGAGCATGTAATCAAATTGGAGTACCTATCAAAACCATGACCTAAGACTTTATCATTACCAGGTCTGAGGGATAATTGGGAATTTTTAATCAAATCATAGTCATTAAAATGAAGTGTAATAACATTTCTATTATTATTATTGAGATCCGTTGCATTAAGTTGTATTTTTGTGTTACATTTACACACAAGTCAATTGAATAAGGTTTCCTCAAATTGCTCTCCAGTTAGACTTCCTACACAGAGTTGGTTTTTTATATTTTCAGGTAGATCAAATGACATGTACATTTTTAATAAGGCTTTCTGGGCAGATAGGCATAGAGGGAGGTAATGAGTAATTCCTTCCTTGTACTGATAAATTAACCCAAGATCTAGAAACTTCCATTCAAACTGCACAATGGGTTTACTAAGAAGAAACATGCTTGTGAGAGCATCATAATAGCGAGTTTTTTTCAGTTTTCGTGAGATCATTATAATATTTTTGAGCAATAACCAGAATCTTGTCGACCCGTTCAATCTCAAATTTTTTTAATACTTGTCGAAAGCAGTTTACATCAGTGATGACAAGTGACCCAAATGACCTCAAATGACTCAAATGACTGGTCATGTGTCATTTGGGTCATTCTAACATTAAATGACAAATGTCCTTGTCATTTAAAAATTATAACATGTGATCTCAATAATTCTGAACGTTTTCATAAATATTTCATGTGATATAAATTTTAATTCTGGCCAGCATATATAATTTGGCCTGTATTACATTCAAATGACCAAATGACAAATGACCTCAAATGACTAGGTCATTCGCTGGTCATTCAAGAGGTCATTTCAAAATTATCAAATGACCTAGTCATTTGCCATCACTGGTTTACATTAGTAATAGTGATATTGAGTTTTTTGATATATTCAACTAGGTATATAAGTTCACGTGACACACAATTCGTAACCTTTTTTGCCTCTTCTTTGATGCCTTGTATTCTCAGAACGGAATGCAACTGTAACAAAATATCAAATACATTGCTCTGTAGTAGACCAACATAGATCACCCAAAACTCATATTGACCATTTTTCATATATTTCCTCTCATATCTAGCATGTGCAGTTCCCGTCAAGATTACACATGCAAATTTGAAACTTTCTCCCAAAATTAAGGTTCATCAGAGGACCTAACAAGTGAATTCTTAAAGGTACTGGATCTTTTTCAAATAATATACCATGTTCGTCAACAATTAATAGAGCTTTGCGATCTGCTAATTTGATTAAGTCTAGAATTTCTTCAGCGATGGTAACCTCAATCTCCTTAGAATCATAATCAACATGTCGAATAATCCGCTTAAGATCAGTGGCAGTCAAAATATCTTTATTAAGTGCCAGGAAGTACCTGCAAATCACATCTCCTGCTTTCTTTGATGATTCTACATTTAGATCAGATATATCTGCGATATATAGTATCGGTCATTCTTCAGCATAAGCTTTAGATGTAAGGAAATAGGAAATATATGATTACCCACACCCATTGGGCCTGAAAAAACGCGCTTGATCGAATGGTCACTATCTGCTGAAAGCTTGTCCCATATGTCAATCATCTGCCCAGTAATAAGTAATGTCCTTCCTTGATAACCTTCAGCGAAGTGCTTAGGTTCCTGGCCAAGATGTAGTAGGGTAATTGATTGGCCAACATGAATGTTCTGGAAGGCAGTTCTAAAAGTAGTACGCAGATCAGGTACGAATTTGTCACTTTCAAGCATGTCAATTATTTGGGGTGGCAATTCTACGGAGTGACCATCAGAGGCGGTGTATGACTTTCAGCCCTGTTCTATTCGACGTTTCTTTATAGGATGCTCTACAAAGCACAGTAAGAAGGAAGAAGTGTAAATCAATATTTGATAAATGTATCACAACACTAGGTTTGGAATGTTCGAAATTGTTGTGGAAGAAAAATTCAAGCCAAGACACGTTCACTGCGCTGACTAACTTATTACGACTTACTTACCAGCAATAGGTTGCTCTATGATAACGCAAATGTCGGGTTTGATGATAAGAAGCAGGAAAGAAAAGCACAAGAATAAGTAAGTATTCAGTATTGTTGGCGAATATGATAGGGAAGATGAAAAAAAATATGATATATTATGCTGACTAAGTTTGGTATAACTCACCGGTGACACAGGAGCTCTAACGACAACTCGAATATTGTTTCCTTGGACTCCATAAAAAGTTGCTCCAACCTTTTGTGACCCCATTTTTATTTCATTATTATCGTTTAATAATTCATCAGGAGAATTGCTCATCTGGTTCTCATCAAAATTAACGTTCCAAAGTTTGAGGTCTTTGGCTTTTACATTGTCAGGTATACTAACTTCCTCTAAAATGGCTTTCTTCAGGTCAAAAATAGAATTATTGTTTTCAACGGTTACAGAGAAAGACCTACTTCTATATTCAAGGCATCAAAGCGTAATTTGTGTAACAGAAATTGCAACAGACATCGTTATATTACAAATAGCTAAGAAAGGAAAAAAGATAAAGATAGGAAAGAAATTTTTATAGTGGGTGTTAGATATATAAGAAATCGATTGTCTCACAAGCCCTGTTCAGTTTTAGATCGGATCATTCAGATCAGAAAAAAAGTAACCAATCAAAATATAGTTACAATTGAGCACGATTTTTTGAATTTTTGATCAGACCAGATTAATCGTTATATTACGACTGGCTAACTTTTACCATGAATCGTAAACAACAAATTCAAAATGTATTATTGTTAAAAACCTTTCTAAATGAGCTTGAAGAAGAGAAACTTGAAGAAGAGGAGAGAACTTTGAGTGAGGAAGAAGAGAGTATTATTTTAAAGCTACTTTAGTACAACAATTAACTACACGATATCTAAAGTCACGAATACACTACGTAGTAAAATCAAAGCATTAGTAGCAAAATATTCTTCCATCCTATGATCCTGTTCGATTTAAAAAACTCTTGCGAATGTTTCCACATTATTTTCAACAATTAGCAGATCTTATACGCCATCATCCTATATTTTTACCACAAGGAAATAAACCTCAAGTTTGTGTTGAATTTCAATTAGCTGTATTCCTTTGTCGACTTGGATCTACTGGTAGTTTATTTGAATATTGTTCAAGATTTGGAATAGGAGAAGGGACAGTAATTCTTTATACTAAACGTATTATTCAAGCAATCATATCACAAAAAAAACTTTTTGTCAAGTGGCCTGTTTTAGAAGATCGTAAAAAAGTTTATGAGGGATTTGAAAATTTGGAAGGATTTAAGAATGTAATTGGAGCAGTTGATGGAACATATATTCCCATGAGAAATGCTTCAACTAAGGATCCAGAAGTTTATTTTACTCGAAAAAACGTTATGCTATTCATTGTCAAGATATTGTAAATAATAGGGGTATTTTTACTAGCTTTGATATAGGCTGGCCAGGTTCTGTACATGATGCTCGAGTTTTTAGAAATTCTTCTTTCTATAAAAATTATCCTAATTTTATTCAAGAAGATGATTAACTTCTAGGAGATTCAGCTTATCCAATTTCATCCTTTTTAATTCCACCTTTTAAAAATTCAGATACTCAAAAACAAAAAGAATTTAATCAATTTCATTCACATCATTGAGTTGTAGTAGAAAATTCTTTTGGGAGATTGAAAGCAAGATTTAAAGCATTAAAAGACCTTGATATTAAAACAGTTAAAATGGAAGTTTTATTAACGTGTTGTGCAATAATTTTGCATAACTTTTTAGAAATAAATATGGATATTTGGGATGTTAATTTAAATGATATGGATACAGATAATATAGATACAGATGAAAATGATACTTATATGTCAAGGGAGAATGATGAAAGTTTAAAGAGAATTGGGCAAGCTAAAAGAAACTTAATTTTTCATCAACACTTTCCATAAATAATTAGGCAAAATATGTAAAGTTTAAATAATTTTTTCTAATAAAGGTTTAATTGATCGAGATTATTGCAATTATTACAATTATTATTTATTACAATTATTATTTATTACTATTATGATTACTATTACTATTACTATTACTATTACTATTATTATATTATTATTATTACTATTATTGTGTTATTGTGAAGCCGATTTATATTGCATCATTCTTAAGTCTAATTCCTTCATTTTAAGCTGATACTCCATGCGTGACTGCTTTATTTCAAACTCCATTTTTTTTGTAATATTTCAGCTTTAGTTTGTTCAATCTTTAATTCTTCTCTTTTAAAAGCTAATTCAGCTTCACGAACTTTCTTTCGAATTCTTGCCGCTTACCAAACTGTTCATTTTCAAGAGCAAGCCTTTTTTTCCAAATCACTTGACGTGTATTACCCATAGAAATAATAGCTTCAGCCAATGAATCCTGTAAAGAAGATTTTCTTTTTTGGTAACCTTATCTTTTATTTCTGTCACCAGAGCTTCTTCATTAATTTCTTTCTCTTTACAACTGTCAAACAATTGAGTAGTATCAGAAAAACCATCTACTAAAAACCCTGGATTATGATTTTTGCGTATTCCAAATAAGGCATTCAGTCTATCAAACCATTTTCATTTTGCTTGTGCTTCTCTTTCTGTTTGGTTTTCCTTTTCATTGATTTCATTATACTTAGTTGTAAGGCGAGATAATTTATTCTTTATCTGCTTTCATGACTTTCCTGAAAAAATCTTATTAGCAGCTGATTTAGCAAAGTTGGACTTGTTTTTTTTATAAGCAGCAAAATTATCCTTAAGAAAACCTATCAACAATCCTGTACTTTTATCATCCTAACCTGTTTCTTCTTTAGCAAGTCCTGGTTTTTGGTCAGTCTTCTTTTTAAGAGCTCTTGCAGTTGGCAAAGGTGTTACTTCTTGAATTTCAGGTAAGATCTGTGGTAAAGCGACAGTAATGATATTGGGATTTTTTACAAATAGTTCTTGCAAATATCTTTGTAAAGATTCTCGTATGATGCTTATAGAGCTTGTGAAAGTTCTTGCGAAAGTTCTTGTGAAAGTTCTTGTGGAGATTTTTGTGGAAAGTCTTGTAAAGGACCTTGTGGAATTTCTTGTGAAGGTGGTTTAGGAGCAATTGAACGAAAGGGGACTCTTGAGTTAGACATTGTAAAGGTTATAACTTTAGCAAAAATTTTAGTTAGACGTGAAAACGTGTCTGTTATAATAAAATCGTCAGAGGTGAACACCAATTTTTATAGATCAGATTGATTGATCACTGATCGTTTTTTAGCCAATCATTTAACTGAACAGGGCTACAGATTGATCTTATCAGTTACACAAATACCCTAATCTAACCTTAACCTAGCATGATTAAAAATCCACCCATTGGACAAATTTTGCATAATGATCAACATTGATTATCCAATAAAATTTGTTATAATCATATGACATTTTTTTTTAAGTTACGATAGCGAAAAGAAATTTTTTATTTGTTTTATTCATAATTTCTTTTTTTTCTATGTAATGTAAAATTTCGTGTATTAAAACGTTATCAAAAAATAAAATAGATTATTATTATAAACCTTTTTTATTGTTGCATTTGTGTAAAAGCTAAGTGAAAGCAATTCGAGTCAGTTGTAAAGCATAATTATTTTATATTAATACATTAATTAATATCTGAGATTTTCTCTAATAATTCTTTATTAATATCTTTATTTTCATCGATTCTCTCTGCTTAGTCAAATGAAACATCATTTTCAGAAGGTGAAGCCATTACTGTTTCAAATTCATTTTCAATTTCAATGTCCATTTGCAAGCATTCATTAAATGACTTTGTCAATTCATCAATAGATGTAGAAAGATACTCAAAACAATAACTGCATTTCAACCCCATTTTCATAAAACATTCTTGATGATATGCATATCCACAGATAAATACATGCCCATTATTATTTGAAATATTATTTTTGCAAGTATTATAATCGCAAAACTGATTCTGACTTAGTGGGTGAGAGGAATGATAACCTGTTGGTAATGCTCCAATAGGAAACTTTTTAGTAAGTAGTGGAAAGTAATAATATACTTTCTTGATTCTTGTACTTTTAACTTTCTTTCTGCTTTTCCCCGATCATTTCCAAATATTTTCTAAAAATTGTAAAAGAAATATTGCTGATTTTATTGCCATTAAATTCAGTTTTTTTTTTGTATATAGATATAATCGATTAGGTGCAAATAATTATGCAAAATCATTATCATTTTGATGATAATCAATGAAAATTGCATCACGTCTTAACCATTCACCAGTTGTTACTTTTCCAGATATATGTCTTTGAACTAAGCTATGAAAATTTTCAACTGGATATTTATCAAAGATTCGCAATTGGGATTTAAGGGCATTGATAATAGGATATTGAATAGAAATCCAGTATTGAATATCAGATATCAAGGCAAGCATCACTTTGTCATAATTTTTTCGTCCAAATTTTCTCATTACTGTTCATAGATGAAATACTGTTTCAATATATTGATCAAAATTATTTCCTCAAAATAATATAGCATATACTTCTAGTGTTGCAAGAATCAAATTATCCAGCAAATCAATAAATATGTGATATTCAAGATCTTTTAATTGTCCAAATTGAGCAAAAATATAAGGTTTTATGATATCCCACCATGCATGTGCTAGATAAAGTAGAAGGTTAATGCGCTAAGGTTTTAGTTTCACAGCCAGATTTCATTTTTCCCAAATACTTCTTTATACAATTCATTAAAAAATGAGTGAAAAATCAAAAAGCAACTTTCACGAATATTGAGAGAAACATGTAATAGGCCAAGAAATAGAACTAAATTTAATATTTCTATTGGAGTTAGACAAGAATTCCCATATTTGAGTTTTTATACAATTGCTCTTCGAATATATAATTGATCCAGAAAATCAGCAGAAACAAGTATAATATAATTTATTAAATATAATTTTGCTTCAGGTAATCTTTTTAATGTAAATAAATGATTTAATAATTATTATAAATTATTTATAATAAAATATTATACTATATCTTACCCAAATAGTTTAATCAATACTTTTAAATAATCATTCATATTTTTTAAATCTGTTGGTATTAAATCAATTAATTTAATTTTATTAACTTTTCAAACATGTTTTTCTGATAAATTCGCATCATAACAATGTATAACTAGAGTTTCTATAAGATCAGATTCATTCAATGCTATAATATCAATTATTAAATGCCAAGTAGATTTTTGTGCATTATAGCTGATTGCAAATTCAACCATATATTGTAAATCAATTACCTGTTTAAGCAACTTGGCATCAACACCATTTGGATTATAAATAGTAGATGAATTTGATATAAACAATAGAATTGGAGGAGTATCATTTACATTAAGTAAAAGAGTTGCCATATGTGAAATACGATTAATAAATGTTACGCTTAGAATACGAGATTCATGCAAATCATGATAATCATCCACGTTAAGAATTAAAAGTTGCCATTTCTGAAAATTAAAATTTATTTAAATTATATTTAAAAATAAATAAATGATAAATACGAAGATTATCTGAAATATATTCTTGAATAGTTTTTTCATGTGCATATATAATTTTTTTTATTATTATATACAGTTTGATATGTTGCACTTATACCCATATTTGAAAGTGTATTAATACCAACATCTGATGTACCAATACTGGTCATATATAATTCAATTGCTGTTTTTATATTACTAACTTGTTTATTTCGAAGAGCTGCCATCTGATAACAAAGTAACATAACTATTTGCTTTAATTGTTGTCGTGTTTTCTTATTTTTTTCACTGGGATTCATAAATTCAAATAAAATGCCAAAAAATCCACAAAGTTTTAGATCACGACTTTCTATTAAATCAATAAATTTATTGGCATTTTGAATTGATGAATTGTTTCTCATTGGTACCAATAAAGAATTTTTGTTATGCGTTCCATTTGATCGGTAAAAAATCTAGAAAATTGAGTGAATTCTATTATAATTTATATAGTAATTAGTAATGATAATTAATCAAATATAATAATTTCAACTTGTTTATATTACCATTTTTTTGCGTCTTCTTCAAAGAAATTAATTCTTTCTTAAGTTTCTCAATTTGTAATTCTAATTGTTCTATAGTCATTGTATCATTTACTAATTGCTGAGATGTTTCTTGAAATACGTATATTCTTTTTGCTTGAATATCTTTTCTATGGTAAGCGGTATCTTTACTATTACACTTCTTGGATCCTTTTGAAGTATTATGATCATAACATACTAAATTATTATAATGTTTCTGACATAATTCATGGCCAACTTGAAGTTTAATAGTTAGTAAAGATATTTCAGGACTCATTTGTGCTTTAGCTAGTGTTTGTGTTTGTAATTTTCAAAATCTTTCTTTATTTTCTTTACTTTTTTCGTGACCATATACTACATATTGACCTTTATTCTGAATATAAAACATTTAGACTTGTTTAAAATTCTAATAGAAGGTGGATCTAGAAATCTAATGGTGGATCTAAAAGAAGCGAAAGATAAATAAAAATAATACACAAATTTGAAAATATATTATAACGCAGTATTGCATAAGTATTCTAAGCCATAAATTATCAGCTGTTTTTATAATACGTGTTTAATATAAATGTCGATCATTTCAATTAAAATTTGTATCACATAAATAGCCAATCATAAAGATTTTTAACCATGCTCCCTAACCTATAGTCACACTCTCTGATATTACTACTTTTTACATATCAGGTGATAAGTGAGAAAAATATTCACAGTACTTTATTAATACATGCAAGTGATAAAAAAAATAAATACAAGCGTGAGAGTATACAATAAAGCTTCTATATTACAATTGCAAACTTAAGTTTATTACTTAAAGTGTTGCAGGTAAGATAATATTTCAACTTATCTCAGAAATACAACTTCACTAATTCAGGATCATAAGGAAACTGATTCCTATTTTCATGGTACCAATGAGCTATGTAATTCATAATTCTTATGTTTTCCATTACAAATAAGACATGGAGAGCTTCACGGCTAAGGTGATATAAAAATATAATTATCAATCCCTCTAAAACTATTTCAGAATTTCAAGTATGGAAGTGCTCTAAGACAGATTTGATAATTAATTCTGGATCAGGCTTGGCTTCGAAAGTTATAGGCCCTTTTTCTTCATATTGCTCAGAAGAAGATAAATAGGATACTTTATTTTCTAGTTTCGAATTTCTAGGAGAGTGGGCTTCTGATAGTTTCCATGACTCAAGTCCCGTTTCTCTTTTATATTTTTTGTATAAATTAAAATGGATCTTATCCGTCAAAACTCTTGGTTACCCAGTTAATTTGGCATGCTAATCCGGGTATTCGAGAGTTAATATTTTATCAGTCTTGGTCATATTTTCTTTTTTTCTATGATTACAAATCAATTTAAATTACAGTAGGTAATAGCTGACATAAATTAGCCTTATAAAAAAATATCACAATGAAGTGTGAGCGAATAGATATTGTAAAACAATGACTATGCAATTATTTCTATTTCATGCTATTCACATTTAATAAAATAGGATCCAGCTTTACATTGACCTTTTATACTTTTCTCATCATCATGGCTTAACTTGCATAATAAGCATAATGTCTCATCAGTAATTTCATAATAATTAAAATTTTTACTACTAAATTCTCTAAATAAAGTAGGATATTGATTCAATGGTTTGTTATGAAAATAGATGCAGTCATAAGTTGGACTATTGGGTTAAGAAATAGGTAGTATTACTTCTACCTTGGTATCAAATGTTTTCAGAGCAGATTCATTAGGAACTTGAGATTCAGTAAGCGTATATGAACTGGTGATATGTGATAAGTCAGAATTTTTCTTATTACTTTGTAAACTCAGTTCACAAAGTTATGTCTTCATACGTCATTTTTGAGATAGAATCAGCAGAAAAGAAATGAATTCGATTTATTTTATCCATACTTATTACATTAAAAAGTGTATAAAGCTTTTTGGCCTGCTTGATTCTTTTCTGTAAAAGTACATCAGAAGTACCTGTAAAAAGCTGAGCTTTAACTTCTATATTTAGAA